ACACTACATATACATACACACTACATGTACATACGCACTACATATACATACACACTACATATACATACACACTACATATACATACACACTACATATACATGCACACTACATATATATACACACTACATATACATACACACTACATATACGTACACACTGCATATACGTACACACTACATATACGTACACACTGCATATGCATACACACTACATATTCATACACACTACATATTCATACATATACACATGCTTGTGTATATGTATACATTCCTATACTGTACATACACCCTATCATGGTGTGTATGTGCTCCCCTCCCTCCCTCCTTCCCCTCTCTCTCTCTCTCTCCCTCTCTCTCCCTCTCTCTCCCTCCCTCCACTCTCTCTCCCTCCCTCCACTCTCTCTCTCTCCCTCCACTCTCTCTCTCTCCCTCCCCCTTCTCTCCCTCCCTCCCTTCTCCCTCTCTCGGTTGTCCATATGCACTCCATTTTAGGTCAACTTACATGATTCTTTTAGTAAGAAGTCTCCCACCTATCAGTTCGTTTTCGTCACATGATCAACTGCTTCCACCAAAACAGTGAATTGCCCAAGATAAGGACAGATCAGTTGCTTGAGATTGCGATAACGTCTTTGCCGCTAACCTCAGTTGCTCCCCAATCCCAGGCAGTGAGGAGAGCAGTTGGTTGTTTTATTCTTATTTACATTCGGAGTGATTAATCATTGTTCTGGGAGTTGCTGGGTTATTTGATTCTATTTTCAGTGGTGTTTTGATCCAGGGAGTAAAGTAGGTTTTTTTTTTTTTGGTTTTTGTTTTCTTATTTGTATCTACATAGTAAGGTCGGGTTTTCATCCATGGAATAAGTTAGGTGTCGTTTCGTGTTTTAATTATTCACCTAATGAACCCTTTATAAGATTAATAAGAGTCATTTTCCCATGTTTGAGATGAATAAATTAGACTACGAATAGAATGTTTCTTTAGCAGTCATTCACAGTGAAGTTTTACCCTTTCCAGCTCTTCGTCGATCAGCTCCTTTAGTGTCGAATCGTGGGTTAACATTATCATCGTCATGGCCCTTGGCAGAGGACTGTTGTGGGGCTTTTCTGGCCCTTGTGTGCTCCTGCTTCTCCTTCAGCTCGGCGTCCTGGCAGAAGGTAAGGAGAATTAATTTTTAAATCTGTGAATATATTTTTGTGTGGTGCATTTGTTTTCTTTGTTATTTCTGGTCTTGTGTCTTTAATTAATGTGTATTTGAGTGCCATATCACAAAGCGAGGTAAAATAGAGTTTTCATTTATTTATTTATTTTTTTTTTTTTTGTGGAAAAGGAGTTGATAGAAGTGGACACGTGTATGACTTTAGGTGATATTACTTGGAATGTCGTTACTTAGATGTAGTGGTACTTTTGAGTCTATTGGGAAATTGCCTGAAGAACGGAATTTTTAAATCAATATTGTCGATATTCCAAAATAAAGAGAATTATCCTATGCATTTCATTTCTTTCTCTTCTCTTTCTTTTTTCTGTGTTTCTCCGCCTCTCTCTTTTTCTCCCCCCTCCCCTTCTCTCTCTCTCTCTCTCTCTCTCTCTC